TGTTTTTAACAGGACAGCATGAAAATGGTCCTAGACTTCTGCTTGGTCCAGACCAGAGAATTCTCTGCATGTAAATTGAGCTTTGGCAACAAAGGGCCAGGGTGGAGAGCAAGCAGTGAGATAGAGAGATTCTAACTGGATTGCCCATGTCACTTCCCGAGTTATAAATCAAAGGCACACCTGGGGGACCATGGCATGTTTTCTGTCTTTTCTGTGAACTCAAGGGGTTCTCTTCTTACTATCAAGAATGCAAAAAGCCTTCATGGGAGGTGTGCTACCAGGCCAAATAGGGACAAAATGACACTCTTTCTCTGATGGAGACAGACATCAAGGCTCTGGGCAGAGCAAGGGGGAGCCGAGGACTCTTGGTCAAGGAGGGGAGACAAGGAGAACTTGGACTTCAACCTGGAACAGGGCTGGTAGCAGATGAGGTTTATTAAAAGAAGGAATAAAGGTGAAAGCCCAGAAGTCGTACATCCATGTTCATTACATAAAAATGATTGGTCAGCAAGCCTTTGTTATTTAAAGACGATCTTTTATAGAATGAAAATGACTAAATACCTTTCAACAAGGGGAGCATGCCTAAGACTGGCCATGGACAACACACCCTGGCCCGAGGCACGCAGGCAACTAATGTCCACCCCCGCAACAATGGAGAGAGAATAAAGAAAGGCTTAGCCAGAGCTGGAGAGCAGGAAGTTTTCAAAATGTGGAGGACCTCAGGAAGCACTCAGGGCCTCACCAAGTGCATATACCCAGGTGGCTAAATATGTATGTGTAGAGTGAGATATATGCATATGCTACAGTTAAGTATACATACATTTAACACAGTTAAATACATACTCAAACAGCTAAGTATATAAATACATACATATGTCTATGTAAAAATCCATCCACTTCCATCCAGTCGATTCCAACTCATAGCAAACCCCATTGGGTTTCCAAGGCTGTAAATATTTACAAAAGTAGTTTGCCTCATCTTCCTCCTACAGAACAGCAGATGGGTTTGAACCACTAACCTGGTTAGCAGCCAAATGCCTTACCCACTACACCACCAGAGCTCCTTATATGTATACGGGCCTTATCACCACAGATGAGATGGCTTCTGGGCCGCAGGCAGCAGCCAACAGAAGGGGGCTATGACCTCAAGATGAGGGTCTGGCATCCTGGCACTCAGACCCACAGATGTTCTGTGGTCAGACACTGACTGAATGGATGTGACCACGTTCTCTTCATGTGCTCTCACTGGCTCCCTGTTTCTCACATGTTCCCCATGTGTTCTCACTGGTTCATGTGTCCTCTCACATGTTCCTGGTTCCCTCACATGTTCTCACCAGCTCCTCACGTGTCCTCTGACACGTTCCTCTCATATGTTCTCACTACATGTTCTCACTGGCTCCTGGAATGTTCCTGCCAAAGAGGCAAGGAGGCCACATCTCCTGACCATCTCTAACCACACAAGAGGAAGACAGAATCACCATCAGTAGCCCAAGGCCTATTCCTATGAGGCCAGACATGCTGCCACCCTCCAGCCCTCTCACCAACCCTGACACCAACCGTTCCTCCCGCAACACTCACCCACCTTTCTGCTGGGTTCGATAATTCACTGCAGTGACCACACACAGAACTCACAGATCACGGGGTTTATTAGGGAAGCACCAGGTTACAATTCAAGTTCAGGAAAAATGCTCAGTCTCTCTCAGCCTGCCGTCTCTCAGCCAACAGTCTCTCACAGTCTCTTTCCCAGCAGTGCGTGTCCCTCGGTGTCTCTCTCAGCAATGTGTGTCTCCTGCATCTCTTTCCCAGCAGTGCATGTCTCTCAGGAGCACATCTCTCAAGAGCGCATGTCTCTCAGGAGCACGTTTCTCTCAGCAGCACATTCTTCTCAGCCAGCAGTCAGAGAGACTTCTGCCTCTGGGAGGCCTCCTTTTGGGCCCGGCAGAGTGGCCAAACTAGCCAATCATAACATCAGAACTCTAAGCACTTGAGAGACAGCGAACTTCCCAGAACACTGCTTTGTGCCACAGCACAACAGAAATAGCCCAGGTGGATAACTTTACCAATCAGGAGCTCCTCAGTTGCTCATGGCAAATTCCAACTCGGAGTTTACAAAGACTTATGGGTAGAAAAGCCACACTAAGTAATTTATTACACTGCAGTTCCCTTCACGTGTCCCCCGTGTACGATCTCACCAGCTCGTCATATGTCCCATCATATGTTCCCTTCATGTGCTCTCCTCACATGTTCTCCCTGGTTCTTTGCATGTTCCCCTCACACATCCCCCTTGTGTGTTCTCACTAGCTCCTCATATGTCCCATGTTCCCCTTATGTGTTCTTATCACATTCTCACCAGCTTATATGTTCCCCTTGATCTTCCTCTCTTGTGTTCTCACTGGCTCGTGTGTCCTCTCACATGTCCCTCATGTGTTGTCCTCACATGTTCTCACTGGCTCCTTGTGTGCCCCCTCATGTGTTCCCTTGCTTGTCCCTTTGCATGTTCTCACGTGGTCCCCTCCCAGAGGATAAAGGCATAGCATGGTCTGATGTGGGCCTTCTCTTGCACATGAGCTCTGCAGGGATGCCACTGATGAACAGGTCACACTGAAGCAGGGGTTCATGCCTGTAACCCACTTTCATTCTGTGTATAGAAGGTCCCACCTGAGGTCACTGCTCTGGTTTAATCCTTGGGAGGGAGACACTCTGGCACTAAACAGACCTCCTGTCCCTGCTCTAAGGAAGACATATTGTAGAAAGCAGTAAATGCTGCTAAAAGCAGAATCCCTAACACTGGGGGACCCTCAAAATGAGAAAGTGTTTAAGCTGTTGTTCCACACACTCTCCCACAAATGCATCCCCTCAAGATACAACTTGGTGTCTTTATTGCATTACATTTCCAAAAGAAAGGGAATTTTGCTTTGCTAGCTGGGCAAAGTGTCCCAGAGGGGACAAAGGGGAAACCACCTCCCACACCCCACCACACACACCACACACTCATCACACATCATTCAGCCCCACACACCCATGCCTGCGCGCACACACACACTCACATACTCACCCATGTGCACATTCACATGCACACGCTGATGCATTCATGTGCACACATGTGCACTCACCCACTTACACGCCCTCACACTTACCCGTGTGCACACTCCCGTATACTCACCCACATTCACATGCACATAAGTGTACTCATGTGCACACATCTGCATGCACACGCCCAGCTGCCAACCACATTTGCTCACATGCATGCTCACACTCACAGGCATATCCACATGTGCATTCATGCTCATGTGCACACTTGCCCAATCACCCGTGTGCACTCATCCATGCTCACATGCACACTAAACCACAGTCGCCCATGCACACACCCCCATGCTTACATGCAGTCACCCACACTCACCCATGCACAAACCCTCACCCATGCTCACACATGCACTTGCCCACACTTACCTGTGTGCGTGCATTCGCCCATGCTCACCTATGTGCACACATTCACATGCACACCTGAACATGGTGATGTTTACAGGGCTTTGTCCAGACAGCCCCGTCCTAGCACTCCGCTCAGAGAATAATCGCACGCTGGGATGAGGATCGGCTTCCCGTGATGGCCTCCAGAAGTGAAACAACCTTCTACCCTTCTCCTGCCTCAGTTGTCAGTGGTGGTGGGTCACAGCTGGGACTGAGGTCTCCAACCAAGAACAGTCTGCCCAAGTGACTCTCAGCCGCTGACGAGGACGAGGCGGTGTTAAGCTTTTCACGCTTTAGATGATCACAGTGAGATCTCAGAGAAAAGCTGCTTGCATAGTGACAAGTCTCATCCTTACAACAAACGCAGACGAAACGCTGCAAATCACGACGTGGCTCTGAGCTTCAGAAGGCCAGGATCCGGCTGCGGCTCAGCCACCTGCAGTTCCTGTAGCGCAGCCTGCAACAGGCTCTGGAGCTCCCAGAAGATGCTAGGAGCTGCTCTGTGAGGGGCTGCAGGGCCTCCGGGGTCAGCACACTCCCGCACCACTTCCTGTAACTGCTGCTGCAGCTGGAAGGAGAGCCCCGAGCCCTGGACCGGTGAGGAGAACCAGTGGCGGAAGATCTTGTCACAGATGACCTGAGGAACAGAAACGTGGGCAGGTGACTCAGAGCAGCAAACTAAGCTTCGGCTGGTTCTTTTTTAAGAATTGATTTTATTTTTATTGCTTTTATTGAGAAGACATACAGCAGAACACACACCGATTCCACCGTTTCTACATGAGTCGTTCAGGGAGGCTGATGACATTCTTTCAATTGTGCAACCATTCTCACCCTCTTGTTCTGAGTTGTTCCTCACACATCAACATAAACTCACCACCCCCTAAGGTTCCTGTCTCACCTTTCCCGTTGCTGCTGTCAGTTTGATCCCATCCAGAAAGTTCTGTAAAGCACATGGCACCCAAGGCAGATGGTCTTTACTGGTTAAGCTGAATTACTGATTGGTTTAAGAAGACTTCAGGGGATACTTTTGGTCTAAAGACTATCTTGGGGCAACAGTTTCAGAGGTTCATCCAGCCTCCATAGATCCAGAATGTCTAGATTGCATGAGAATTTGAAATTCTGTTCTGCATTTTCCCCCTTTTGACCAAGATTCTTTTACAGACTCTTGGATCAAAATGTTCACTGTGACTGCTTTCAGCAGAGCTACACTTTTCTCCCAGACCCGAGTCTCTCAGGGAGGTCATCACAGAGGTCATAGATTCTGAATAGTGCCTTCCTTTCTGTCCAAGGCCATGGATAGACGGTGCTTAGAGGGGAGGGAAGCTCCTGGGTGGTGCAGTGGTACAGATGGTTAATGCACTCAAATGCTAACTGAAGGGTTGGTGGTTCGTGTCTACCCAGAGATACCTTGGAAGAAATGCCTGGTGATGTGCTTAAGAAAAACCCCAACCACTGATAGGTGTGGGACACAGTTCTCCTCTCACACACATGGGTCACTACGAATGGAATCAACTGGGTGATAACTGGTTATTTAGCAAGGAGGAAGCTTCCTGTGTAACACAAGAAATTCCCCACTCCCAGGCTCAGAGCAGATGGGGAAAGTTGGGGGGGACTTCAAAGAGGATTGAACAACTGCTGAAGAAAGCAGGGACAGTAATCACAGGCAGTGAGTGCTACATTAGGCGTCACCCTGCTGTGCAGCAAGGGCAGCCAGCCACCCTCTGCCACCCCCAGTTCTCTGATCCCTAAGTTAGCCACTGTGACAAGAATAAACACTTGCAGAGCAGAGCTGTCCTGGAGCCAACAACAAGGGTTAGTGAAAAAGCCATGTGCAGGGGTGAACTCTGACCATCACACCATGAACAAAGCAGGGGAAGAGGAAGGCTGCCCAGGCGAGGCTCTGTGAAGGAGTCTTTGAATGTTTTATCATAGAAGTGAAATAAAAGCGAAACCACTGTCTCCCATCTTCAGGTCAAATAGGTATGAGATTCCCAGATGCTGGCCATCTCTTTAAAATCCCAATTTAGCAAGGCTACTTCTTGTGTAGCCTGCACAGCTCCCACCCTGTAGGGAGACCTGGACTAGGAGCAGGGAATGGATGCACTTATTTAAACACATCACACTTTTTCTCAGACTCCTTGAGCAAGTATCTCCATTTCCAGAGCTCCTGTCTCCTCGAGGATTAGTAGCTTTAACTTCCATTGCCCAACTAATCCCTGCAAGAGCTCGGCTTCTTCCTAGAAACAAATTATTTTATTCCTTTCTTGAGTAGGTTGCACATTTTCATGTGCAAAGTTTAAAATACCTTGAAGTTCCCATCCTTCCTAACAGCCAGCTACATGATCTACCTTGGCACACCCCCCCCCACACACACACACACAGTTTCCCAAGCATCCTTCTAGAGAGAGCCCGCATGGAAAAGACATAATTTTTCTCTTCTCTTCCACAAACAGTGGTATACGAGGCACACAGTTCTACAGCTCCCCTTCCCATTTAATCATGTACCACAAGATCTTTGCAAATGAATTCTCATGAGGAGTTCCACTGTTTCAGTGGCAGCAGACAAGCCCAAATGTGAGGAAGTCTCATCAGTTATTTCACCAGGCCTCTAACTTATGGGAATTTAGGTCCTTCATTGCATTTTGCTATTCAGAGTAATTCCGTGATAAATATCACACATGAACAGTATTTTGATTTTGCATGTACATAAACTAAATTCCAAGACATGGAATATTTGGGTCAAGGGGACTTTTTGTTTTGATGTTGTTCCTGTTGCTGTTAGGAGCCTTCAAGTCGGCTCTGACTCATAGCAACCCTATGAACAATAGAATGAAACCCTGCCTGGTCCTGTGCCAGCCTCACAATCCTTGCTATACCTGAGCCCACTGTTGCAGCCACTGTGTCAATCCATCTCATTGAGGGCCTTCCCCTTTTTCACCAAGCACAATATCCTTCTCCAGGGAATGATCCCTTCTGA